AGTGGAGGGCAAGGTCATTGGGCTAGGGAATGTCCTGACGCTAGAGAAAAGGGCATGGATGTTAGAAGTGGAAAATGTTTTCGATGTGGTGAAATAGGTCATTTAGCAAAATATTGCAGGTAATAATAACGATGGTTATTATTATTATCATCATCATTATTATTACTATTATTAAACAATATTATTTATTTGAAAATTAGAGGAAAACCAGGAGGTGGTAATGGCGGTGGCGGCGATTATGATCGTAGAGGTCATTCTTCTCGATATTCAAGAAATAGATCACCTCCTTATTATTCGCGTGGTGGTGGGGGTGGCGGCGACTCTAATTATGAAGATCATGATCGTGACAGAGACCGGGACCGTAACAGTCGTGATTATGATCGGGATCGCGATCGTGACCGTTATAATCGTTATTCTAGATCACCACCACCTCGTGGTAATATTGGCGGTGGTTATAATAATAATAATAATAACAACAACAACAACAATAATAATAATGGATCATCATCAAGAAATCGATCAAAAAGTCCATCGAAGTTATAAACACTAATGCAGCTGTAAACTTGGTTAGTAAACGAAATCTATTAAGCATAGGATTTGAAAGAGCATCGGTTACATTCTATATATAAAAAGAAATTTATAATTAATAAAAAAAATTTTTTTGGAAAAAAAAACTATTAAATATCAAATAAAACCTTAGGAAAAGTTCCTCTGGCTATTTTTGCATCACGCAAAACTTGTAAACCAGTTAAGGCCATTCCAGAATAAAGTAAAAATGCACTTCCTAAATGCGCTGCCAGTCTATAGTGGCTTACACGAGGGACGGCTCCCGATGTCATCAACTCGTCAGATAATCCAGATTTGACCATATACCAACCTAAAAAACCTTGAAACCCGAGGAGTCCACCTAAACCTATAACTTTTTTGATTGTGGATTTAGACATATAACCACGAATTCCAAAATATGTTGCCGGTAAAAGAAAAGCCAAGCCAATTACACGACCCCATATACGATGACCCCACTCCATATAATAAATATATTTAAAATCAGGTAATGTCATTTGATTATTCAACCTTTAAAATAAAAGTAATTAATATGTATATTTTCTTTTTTAAGAAATTAAACATAAATAAAACATGGATTATTATTTTTACGTAGGAACTAGTATCTATAGTTACAATTTGTATTCTGGAAATTGTTTATATTTTTCAAAATCTTCTTCCCATTGATTTTTAGTTAAAGGAGGGAGCACACCAGTTATTGGTTTCCATTCAACTATCGAAAGTCCACTTTCAGTCAGTCTGGTCAAACCACCTAAAACTACAATTCCAAACACCAGCCCTGCTGTTCCGAGTAACCAATAACCAACTATAGGTTTTGTTGTAACTTGTGATCCTTTAAGCTCCCTTTGTATTGTCTATATAAAAAAAGTAATTCGAAAACTGATAAAGCAGAAATTGATACTACGATAATAATTGAACGTGATCAGCTTACTTTAGATCCAATGTGCTCCGATACACTTCTTACAATCGTCTTTCTATCCTTCGCCAAAAACCCCCGAGTTGCTTCTCTTAATTTTGTAAACAGGACATTGGTTTTATTTCTTTCCTTTTTAAACTGTTCAATTGAAGCATTTTTTACGTTTAATAACGTTCCCTTGTCCTTATTAATGAAAAAAATTTACTTTAAATGCTTAAAATCATTCAAAAAAATTATCTATTCTTTTTTTGACCTCGATTAATTCTTTGTTTTACCTGAATAAATCCTTGTATTAATGTATGTGAAGTTGGTTTGTATTTTAAAAACCTACAAAATCTATGAAGCATTGTTAATAATAATACTAAAATCAGAGAAACGTGAAAAAATTTATTTTACGAAGATTTGGGAATGTGATTTTATTACCCAAAAAGGAAACAGAATTGCCTTTTTGGAAGATAAACGCATTGGTTTCTAGTACATATGGGGCATACTGCAACAAAACCAGACAAAGTGAACACTTGTATTAAAAAGAATTTCAGGATCAAAATTTAATCATTTGTAATGTGATTAATATTAACAATTTTAGTTAGTTTCTTAAGTGATACAGTCAACCCTCCATAAGTGCATCTCCTCCATAAATGCTCCCTGTGTCCCAGTCCCAAGCTCGGGACCTAGAGATAAGTGCACTCCCTCTATG